GGTTCACTCACGCCAGCAGAATACATTATGAATACAAAACTGTCGAACGTCGATACATCCAAGAAGAACCAAGAATAAAAGATATAGCCAAAGAAAAAAGCCATTTCTCAAGGGAGTCGACTTACTTCCAGTTCAAACACGACTTCGGCGCTCGCACGATGTACACTAATTTGAGCCCGCGATAGTCCGCGCTTTGATTTTTTTTCCACTGGTAAGCGGCTCAACAAAGAAAAAAAGTTCACAGGAATCGACCAAGCGCTTTTTTTCCCCCACACACCTCTTATACTCATAAATGCTACGCATTCACCCGTAAAAATGAATAGATCTGGGCGTTTTTCATTTTTCCATCAGCTTTTAATACATCAGCTAAGCTTTCCCTAGGAACAAAGTAGCTAGAAAGGCATACGAGCGCACGAAAATTCATCACTATTGAATGAAGACAAGCGTAATCTTTGCTCATTAAAGCTCAGTTATGCTTGAGACGTTCATTTTGTCAAGCTGTCTGAAACGTTTAAAATCCCGGCTGTACCTGAACATTTCTACAACTTCCTCCTCGTCTTAGATGATAATCAACAAATCGTTTTTTTTTTTGTCGAATAAGTGTATCAATACAAGTCATGAAAATGATACGTTACAACCTGTCCCTAGGCAGAGATACTTCCCAGCATATCTTTCTTTATAGCGTGGGTAAACCGGCAACAGGTCTCTTGTACATTTTTGTGATAATGCATCATGCATATATTTAACTAAACCAGTGAGTAAAAACGTATCTTTTGTTGAAAGAATCTCTATTCCTTTCATTCTTCTTGTGCATCCTATTGGCTAACACATGCTGGGCTATGGGGTTTCCGTAATGGGCAAAGTCTCTGAAAACCAGAGCCACTTGTACATGGTATGAATAAGGTGTATGGGTGAATTATTTTCAAGGAGAATCCCGAGAAAGATCAAACAGGCTGGTGAACACACAATGGTGTGCCGAAAAATCTTGCTTGTAAGTAGCTAAAAGAGTATTATGATCTTATGCAATATCTTCAGCCTGCTTCTACCAAACGATTTAATGATTTCTTCCATTTTCTTGACTTTATATAACTCAGATGCTTAGTTTGAATGAGGAATAATTTGTTTATAGCAACAATCACTTCCCCGCTTTAGAAGTGATCCTTTACAAAGACGTTTGGCTCTTTCTTTTCTTCTCTTGTTATTACATTGATGAATTTCTCCATCTTGTTTTAATGGTCATTTGTGGTCTACCTGTTCATTTCACTTCTCACGTGATTATGATTTGGTATACTTTATTCTACCTAATATTAGTTTCAAAAGCTCTTAAATCAGCCTGGCTTTAGTTAACTGATCATGAATGATAAATAAAATATTTGTCGGCGAATAGGATTTTTATGTTTTGGCTCTCTGAGTTTATTTCTTGTTAAAGTCACGTAATAATGCGTGACACGGGTTACAGGGTGGTGGAGAAGGAAGTCAATGCATCGCATCCACTCAAGGCAAACTGCTTGCTCAGTAACCTCGCTAACGTGGTCGTGCATTAACTTGGTTTTTTCCACCGAGTGAGGACGTTTATTTCCGACGCAAAACTTCCTCAGCCACCCTGTCGACAAGGTGGTCAATCAACTCAAAAGACTTCTGTCGTAATTATTCTGCCCGACTTCAAGTCGCAATTGTTTTTATTCTGGCATGTTTGTAAAGACGTTTTTACTCTCATTCTTACGATGTTTGAAAATTGTTAAGATTTTTTTCAGGACCAGTTTAATATTACAACTTCTGGATGTCTAATAAAGATTCAGACTTGTGCATCCGGTGGTAAGAAATGTAAGGTTCGATTAAATGAGAAATGGAAGACAGATCCAACAACGAGTGAGTAAAGTGAAAAAAGGAGGTAAGTTTCTAGAGAAACTGTGATGCTGTGTCGGTGAGAGGGTATAGCAGGGTAAGTTAGTGGTATCAACTGAGTTGATAACGTAAATTGGCCACCATAGAGAGTTCGAGTGACATTTCGAGCGTTAGCCCTTCGTCCAGTCGAACGACAAAACACTAGAAAGTCAACTTTTAGACTCTTTACGATGGCTAATTTACGTTATCAACTGAGTTGATAACGTAAATTAGCGAGTGAATAAAGGCTGGTTAAACTTTACTGATACAGAACACCTCTAGGAGAACTAAATAAACTCAAGCTTGATGAACTTTGTTGCTGTGGAAACTTTTCTCGTTGGAAAGACTAAACCAATGTTAGTACAATCAGTAAGTGTCATTCTGTAAGTTGATCAAGTTGTGAAAAAGATTGCTCCTACAATGCCAGACTAATAGATCCATATCCAACATACCAGAGACGGTATTTCTACTTTTAACAGCAGAAGGATTATTCATCATAAAGTCTTTATTTCATTTCGTCCAATGCTTTTTTTTAACGAGTCATCATCGTTAACATCAATAAAACAGCCAAAAAAACTGGAAAGTGCAATGAATTCACTACAGCCAGCCGAGTTGAATATGCGCTGAAGTCGACACTACGACTATAACATCATTTGTGAGGCGAGTGATTATTGAGTTACCTGACTCTGACATATAAAAGGAAGCTATGGGATTTTGATAAGGTTAACTGACTAATTTTTTTTTGTCGCCATGCATTTGTTCATTCTCTCATTTACGAGTCTGCACACTGTCCTATTTCATGCGTCTGTTATATTGATTTAATTCCATAAATTTTAATGTTAATTTTGATTTACCCAGACATTTTAATAATTGTAGTAGCACTGTCTATGTCATTGGTGTTCTACGATGAGCAAGTGGTCCATTCAAAAAAGCCAATTCCTTTCTATACTGTATACTTAAAATAGTCAATTCAGAAATATTTATTGTCTCCGCTGCTATGATTGATCGATTTTCATGGAGATTAAGGCATACTCTTGAGGAACATCTTTTTCATTTTGATGCTGAGTGTTTCAAATGAGGGGTCAATATCACGTTCGATAGCTACTGTTGTTGTTGTTATAAAAACGGAACGTTTTTTTAAGAGATTGAATGAAATATCCCTCCTCTTCATTCACTATCATTTGTGTTTGTATTTATAGCAGCAAAATGCCTGTCATAAAATCATTCCTGAAGGGTTCATTTTAACAGAAGCCAGAAGCTCTGGATATTTCATATATTCGCAAAAAGCGAGTTGTCTAGGTAAATACCCTAATGGTACCTTGTCTGGAATGAGTTTGAATGATGGACAAAAATGTAGATTCCTCCATTATGACTACATTTGAGCATTATGATTTGAGCGAATATACACCGTATTCAAATACTTTTGCTAATAGCAAGCTTTCACTAACTGCGTTATAATACGAAGCCTGAAGGGAGATTTTATGTCGGTTTATAGTATGTTACTGAGCTCTCTTTTTATTTTAATTTGTTCTGTTATTATACGAGGCTAAAGCCGTAGCTGTACATGTCAACAAGCCGTTTACTTTGTTGTAGTAAGTTTGGATTAAGACATTCCCTCTCGATCTCTTGGTATAAAAAATTTTGCCTCAATAAAATGTTTTGTTGAAGATGTCATTGTAACTCACTCAACAGTTTTTTTTAAAAGACGCTTTCCTTGTAATGCTTCAGTTTCAGCTCAGGAGATGCACATTTCATGCAATTCTAGATTGCAAACGCCTCATACTGCCAGCATAATACTAATCAAACTACACATATTATTATATACTATCTACGTAAACACTGGCCAACCCATTTCCCCTTTGCAATGAAATCGTTGCACGTTCAACACGTGAGGTTACCACGGTAGTGATATTAATCCGCCTGAGGCAAATTTTTGGAGCATTAGTTCATTTCTTTTCCGTAATCAATTTAAATTGGAACTTATCAGTGATCGCAACCCACAATGAGGACGGAAACCCTGCGTTTGTTTATGTGAGCGTCAAGCTTTAAATGAACTTTCAGAACTCAGTTTCAAGTTCCTTCGTATTTACCTGTTTTATAGAGCAGAATCAAGCCTTTTACTCTGAAGTTCAGCTGAGGGACCGGTTACGATGAAGTGGTCGGCGATTTACCGAATGACACTCTCCTTAATTTACAGGTAACATTTTACGACAGCGGAAGTGTCTCCGAAAGAAACTAATTTCTGTCCAAAGTTTCATTGAGGTATATAAAAGGGTCCGAACAAAAATTTATTTGGCTCACATTAAAGCCGGGCTAAGCTTCCTTTTTACTTCTTAATCTGAATCATCGAGAGGTTGGACAACTGTTGGCTTGCTTCATTGATGGTTCGCGATTGACCCCATCGATGGCCTCTAAATATGGCTAAGCATGGTTATGGCGATGTGAACATTTAAACAGGAAGCGGCGCCACGTGCAGCATGTTTCCTTGTTGTATGTATAATCATTTGCATCTTTGAGACATTGTGTTGTAGAAAATGATGAGATTTTTAATCATGAAAAAATTAAAGTTGTGTGATCGCAAGGAAGTGGTTTTCTCGGGATGATAGTGTCGCTTTAAGTAGTGGAGAGCCATAACTGAAATAACTCAAAGAAAAGCCTCTTATGCTTTGAATGGCTACTCAACCGCAGATAAAGACTCAGACATATTTTGGCTCTAATTATGCTCGGCTCTGGTCGAGCTCAACGAGTACTCGCTCTCTACTTAACAAATACGTCCCAAGTTTCCGTGCGTCTCTGCAGTTACGGATCACAGACGACAAAATGTAGTAACACTTAGGCTTTTACGTACCAACTGAAATTTTTCTTTGATCGACCACTGAGCAGACTCAACAACATGGAATCTATTTTTTTTATCGCGTGGAGGCTCGAACCGTCATTAATTAATGAGAGCTAGGCGATCTCCGTGACCTTGACGCGGGCGGGAAGAAGCCATTGAATAATTTTTTTTGCTTCTTAAAACCTCAGAAAAGATTACATCAAGTAAAATTACTTTTACTCACAACGCCTAAAAATAACCAGGCTTAAACGGAATGCGATTGCATGACCGCCACGCAATTCCCCTCCTCAACTGATTAGCCAACTTTATTCCAGCACTGAAATACAAGATTATCACATATTTCTTTCCACATATTCATCCCTCTCAGTTATAAAGAATCAGACTTTTGCCAATTTTTAAATGGCTCGATGGATTAGTTGGCCAGGGAGAGTTACGGCGCCGATAAAGGGACTCAGAGTCATGTGTTCAAGTCTTTTACAGCAAGCCTGAACCTCAGGGGTACCAACTTGACCTTCAAATTTGAGAATTTCTTCATACTTTTTAAATATTTCAGTTAATTAGCAATAAACGTGAAGTCAGTAATTGCAACTCCTTAACCAGAAGTGAACCGAAAACTTTTAATTCTGCCTGAAAGCTTGCTTTGCTGCTAATTCAGTTCGATATTTTTCGAACTCTCAAATCCACTGAGCTTACTATAGATAGAAAAAAAAAGGCTGAAGCTTTTGATCACAATTAAAATTCGCCATTTCATTTTTTTACTTGGTTGTCGACTAACTCCTGCTGTGTTATTCCTGACCCTCACGAAGAAGAAATGTCTCCTATGAATAGAAAGAGAACTAAGCATGAAAAAGTGCAAGATCTCATGCTTTAATTTGATATCAACTGTACATTATAAAAAGTTAATGACGGGGACATTTCCAAGAATATTGCCTCCAGATAGCAAGAAAAATGATACCCTTGAATTAGTGGATGGATGAGAGATAAAAAAAGAAAAGGTCGCTCTGTCGTAAGCTTTCCAATTTTGGTGCTATAATACTTCTGAAATAAATGTACGTTTGGAGAACTTGATGTTCTCAGAGTAAATATGATAAAACTATTAAAAGTTGCTGTAATTAATTTCTCAACTAATGTTTGAATAACATCCCGACAAAATGACATTCTGGTTCAAGTATGAGATCCTTTCAATAAGTGCGTCTTTCAGCACCTTCAAAACTCCGTACATAATACTTTGACTGCTAATAGCGCCTGCTGCAGAGGCTTTTTCCTATAACTCATCACTCTGAACTCAGTGATGAACATATTTATATTTACCTGTTGTTGACCAAGTAGAAACTTTCAAGACAATTGATGCTTTCGTAGTGTCCTCATACTCACACTTCCACTGGCAACTGTAATTCCCTTCATCAACCTTAGTGACGTTAAAAATATTCAGGATAAATTCCTGCTTGCATTTGCTGTGTGTGTGTTTCACTACTATGTTGTACTTCTTACTGCTTGCCAAGGGAACGTGATCATTGTTTTTATACCAATGCAGCTCATCTGGGCAGCCAGTCTCGTCGCTGTCAACTAAACATGTTAGGCTTACGTTGGAAAATTTGTTTGCAGAGACCATAGATGTTGAAGTGGTGGGGGGCTGTGGTAGAGGACCTGCGTTTCCGCGATAAAAAAGTTTAAAACCATGATAACTCATTAACAATAATTAAGGGGCTTTGGTAACCTTTTGATTTGTTGGGAGTGCTTTTTCGTTATGAATTATTCTGAGGCAATCATATCTTATAGACAACAGTGGCTAGCAACAGTGGATAATTTAAGGAAATTCTTCGTCTCAGTGTTTACCAACAGATATCTAAATTTGTTAAACATGAACGTTCTTGCATTTTGAGAATGCCCGCTCTTACTTGAAGCAGCCTGCAGCCTGCCCCTATCATTGAATGTTACAATATGAGTGGATTTACCTGTGTGTGAATACCACCATTCATTCATAAAGCATAAAAGTGTGTAATAGCAACTCTGATAGTCAAAAGCTTCATATCAAAACAATGAAACGGTCCTTAAATCATGCCTACACTCATGGTTTTGAAGCCTCTATGTTGGACAAAAGTGATTGAAATGACTACTTACAAATGAATATTAATTGTACCATATAGGATTTATTGCTGGACCAGCCTTGAATACTATCCACTACACTACAGGTATAGAATCCTTCGTGTTCCTCGCTTCCTGATGGGAAACGAAGGACACTACGAATCGCTTCTTCTTCATTGACCCGTATCTTCTCCAGAGATTGATAAATGCCTTTGGTTCCGTTCATCAACGGTAAACGCACTCTATTAGTATTTGGCAACTTATCCTTGTACCAGTTGACAACAGCAGGTAGAGGCCAAGCCGAGAAAACGCATTCCAGTTCATTTTTTTCGTCTTTTGATATAATATTTGGGGAACTACTTCCCCAAAGAAGATTAACAGCACCTGGATATAAAAAGGATATTACTTCACCTGAGGTGTCAACACTTGCCTAATGAATTCTCAAGAAATTGAAATCGGGTTGGTAGTTTAACATGTGACTAGCAATCGACAAAGCTGCTTCCTTTTCCCCAAAACGAACCCCATTTCAAGCCATGTCCATAACTCTAAGCTTCTGAGACACTTGGCTAAATGTAAAGATGCACTATTTAGTTCAAACGAACAGCAAAGGTGGTTAAACATTTGCAGGCATAACTTACAGTTCTTTTTTTTAATGAGAGTCGAACAACGATAAATACAAATGAGACAGGAACAAGGCCCCAGTGGGGGCTGAGAACAGTTTCAGCCAAGTCAAATAAATGAGGAGCTGCTTACGTGTAAAATGTACAGCGGTGCACTGGCAGATATACTTCCCATTCTTTGATTTCCCCTTTTCTTGTAAGACCAAATCCAATGAGCCCTTGCTTTCACCAATTTGCTGTTTTGCTTGCTGCCAGGTGTGGATGTTTCCCTTTCTTCTCACGTTGATGGCACAGTTGGGTGGTATCTTGAGACCTGGATTTACTGTGATATTCTTTGTGATTTGGCAACTGGCTGACTCTGAACAGGAAGCCTTTACTTCGCATTTCGAGCTAGGCGCAGATGACACATCTGATTCACAGAACAATAGAAAAATGAGTTTGTAATCACTTTCAAACGAATGGATGACTTACAGCCCAATCTCTATGTGGGGGAGGAAAAGAGGATAGAGGAGTGGGGAGGAAGGGAGGTTAAAAGGGTGAAAAGGATAGTTGACACATAAACTAAAAATCTATCGAAAATCGTTTTTCGAAAATGCAAAATCGTGCCCCCTAAGTTAAGAGTGAAATTAAGCAACAGCAACATGAAACTGAAGAATTAAGAACCTAAGTGAAAAGTGCTTCTCCTTGCGATGAAAGTCAACAATGCTTTACAAGATAATACTTTTCTCTACATTTCACAAAGAGCAGCATTTGAAATTTTACTGACTATGATCCACTGAACACGCACATTTTGAGATTCTTCTGAGAAGTTTTTTAGGAAACCCCCTATATGTGTACATTCCTCTTTGAAAATAAAAAGCGCAATTTTTAATAGGCAAAACAAAAACAAACCAAAAAACAAATACATGAATAAAACAAAATGAATAAAATTTTCGTAATTGATGCTTGAGTAAACGTATCTCTTATTTCGATAATTCGATATGCGCAAGAAGATTTTGGATCAATTAAATTACAATGCAGCTTTGATACAAACTGCGCTTTTTATGCTTTTGCAAATTACTGATTTATTGTCATATAGCCGTTCACTCCACGATCAAATTGACACAAGGAATCCAGAAATTGCTCCGTTAGGTCAGATAAAAGGGTCTACCTTTATCTCTCTGGCTATGGTCATGAAATCAACATGTATAAGAATTGTCTGAGGCAATTGCGCAAGAATACAGCAAAAGTGGAGGTGGAGAGCCACACATTTCTTAGGCGCTCGGAAACAGTAAAGGGGGACATTACGCTTTGCCGAATCTGACGCCACAACTTGAAAATGACGAAGGTTGCGAGATCTCTAACTGGCACTTATTCACAATTACCAGACCCTTTTCATATTAAATTTGGTATGAGTAACAGAGTTTCCATGCTGAAAACAATTTTACTCCTTGATAGAGATTGGAACACAACTCTTTATCAAGGTCGACAAGATTTTCACGTTAAATTGAACGAAAAAGTAAAAGAATATTTCCTCGAAAAATTATTTTATCAAGTGATACGTCTTAGAACTGCTAAGCATACAAAGAAACACATGAAGAAAAGGAACTGCTAGATAAATAAACAGAACAATTTTAGTTGTTCAATCAATCTCCTTACCTTGAAACAAAGTAAATGACAAAACCAACAGCAAAGAGACTTTTCTCGACATGAACCTCACGTCTTGTTCGAAATACTGATTCTTCATGCTTTCTACAGCGTGGTTTAGCGCGCCTACACTTTACTTCTAAAATCCGATGAATTTATACCCCCCCACACTTTTTCAGAATTATGATTTAATTTTCTTTAAAACAAAACTTATTTGTTCAAGCACCATAGGTACCTATTGAGTTCCGCCCCTTATTACGTCAGGGAGGGGATTTACCCCGGATTAAGAAAGCGTCTGTTCAACCAGGTTTAAGAAGACGAGTAAGAAGCTTAAGGAATGAAAAGAAAACGATCCATCATGACTGGGAATTGATTTTCGATATCTATTGCTTTGCTGACGTCTTTGATGCAATGATGAAAATACTCGAGAATTTTCAGTAGGAACAGCGAAACAATAGCATAACAATATGCATCACAACAGATATAGGAGCTTTATTAAAACAGGATATATTTATGCAGATGAAAAGCAATTAGCCCACTTTGGAGAAGCTTTGTTTAGAAAGGCGGGGTAATGAAAAGGAGTTAAAAATTGCAAAAAAGGTGGGTGCGTGTTGATTTTTTTCTATTATCATTCATCAAAAAGCTGATCATAGGAAAAACAATACTTTTTTTTTTTTGTGCCCGCGTAGCTGGTGGTTTTGTGTGCGCTTTGGAGGGCTGCGCGGCGGAACCGCATAGACGAACGACGAAGCCGCTAAAGACCCCGCTCATATTCACGCTCCACCGCCCATCTCTTCGTCCAGCGCTCAAAGTATCGCTAGCTAGACAGGCAAGATATAATAAGTCGGAAACAAAAATGATCTTTGTCGCGCAAGATACTTGCAAACCTGTGGGCACAAAACGTTCATCGTTCTCTGCAATGTAACTTCATCGAAATACAGGTGCAAAGATGGCCAAACATTTATTTGGTATCGATCTGGCCACTTCTTATTTCACGAAACCCGAAAACAAAATGGAAAAACAGAATAATAATTATAATAATATTAATAATAAAAATTTCTAGTTATGTGCATTTTGATTCGTTCGAAGTAATTCGCACATTTGACTCCATTATAAGGAAATCCTAGTACAGCTATTGAGCGTAACGTACATTTTAAGTTGAAAATCCCTGTAGGTTTGGTACAAACATGCGACCTTTATCTTCATTTAGAATGCATATTTTCTTCCCTAAATTAATTAGGCCTACTCCTTAAAGAAAATATGAAACAAGAACGACCAAATCACTGGAAAATAGAAAGGGGGGAAATTTGAATTGAAAGTGGAGCTCGGGTCACTTTCTAAGTCTGATGAAATGGCTCGTGGCTCGAACTTTAGTCACGGTTAATTATTATCATTAACATAAGTTACTAACTACTTACAGAGTGTTTGATGACCAATTCTGCAAAAACCGCGGCAGGGGGCTATGTTACCTAATTTTGCGTGGTTCTTTTTCATAAAAGCGTGTGGGTTTCCTTTTCTTTTGGTTAATTACCGCAACATCCGTTAAAGGGGTTGTTATCAGTCCAACGTGGGTCATCTACGTCATTGGCACTTAGAGTGTCCCTCATCACCCAGTAACTGATAGGAAACAGGGGCAAGTAGCAATGGCTCACTTACAGCGTGAACTTAGGAGAAACAACTTTTTAAGTTTCATTTCGTTTATAGATATCGTTTCGAAAGATAATGAAGGATTATTGGCGATATGTCCGCCCTTATGAAATTAAAACTTCATCATCCCTTAAACCCATTAACAGTCAATCCGCTTTGGGAAAGAGAGAACTCGTGGCATAGGGCCAAGTGGGTGATAAACAAAAGAGAATTGAAATGTACAGTAAGCGAGGGGCCTGTATATGCTCGTCGATAGATGATCCTATTTTATCTTTATCAGCATAAGAAACACTAGGATTGAAGCATACTCCTGAGTAGCGTTTAAATTTAGCTTACTCTCACTTGGAAGTTAGAGCTACAATAGGAAGTCTATTTATGAATCGATAACAAAGAGCATCAGTGTTACAGATTGATAAGCTTCTTTGACGCGCAAAGCAGATGAAGCTCAGACTAAATAGAAACCTCAAAGCTGGTCTTAAGCAGGCACTGCTAATTATTGAGGTCATATGTGGCAATTTCGCAACCTGTTTTGAAATATTTATGTGACGATGACTTTGGTTAAAAAAAGAAACACTTTTCTGTTGAGTAAACAACCGCCCACTAGACAGGAACTTGGAACGCTAAGTGGAAAAGAGTGGTCGGACTCTACTATTGTTCAAAGGCACACTCTTCCGTTGTAACTGAGACTTCCTTCTTTGTTGCCGACCAACGTAGGGCCACCCAAGCACGTGCTTGAAGGATACAGAGGACGTTTTTGAGCAGTCAGAATAATTCATAATTGTTTTTTAACTTCACACGACGATGGCATGATAGTTGAATAACTCACATACTCACATTTCTAGCCCTCGAAAGCAGAATTCTTATGTCCAAAAAGACGTCCGCCGTGTAGGAGATAGACGTTCCCGACCTAGTTTTAATTTAACAAAATGTATGCTATCTTTTGGCAGATGAAGGTAATCTAAGTTTAAACGACTAAGTTAATTCGACTTTGAGAAAACAAACCTCAATGGTAAACTGCTGAATTCTCTCGTTTCTTATAAGTTTGACCCACTTAGCGTAAATGACCCATCGTGACTGATATGTGGAAAATTGTTGCGAACAGAAACTGAATTAAAAAAAAGAGAGATATTAAAATCGTACAATCCCATGGGGATTGACTAAGCGGGAACATTTGGCTGAATATCCCACATTTATTTCTTTATTATTTTATATGATTAAATCGCTCTTGAAGTATATGAGTGATAGAAATGTCGAGCTATTTGTTGGATATTTCATTCCTAGATTCACTTATTTTCTTCTATAAAAGTATACTTTGGATGCTCAACTATCAACTATTTTCGTACTTTAAAATGGTCATAAGAACCTTTCGAAAAATCTGCGAAAGGAAAAATCATTCCATCTCGGAAAAGACAAAGAAGTTTCTTTGTCACGCGGGGGTGGGCGGATGAATTTCATGTGATGGGCCATAGGAAGAGGTTTCACCTTAAAGGGCAGCCTTAAACACGCACTGCTTTTATTCATTATGCAACTCTGCCGGTGTCCACCACTTAGGATTTGTTCCCACGATGCATGAAAGGTAGTCGAACTCCAAATAACAGGAATCACCAAATCGTTGTACCAGCGCCTCACTAACAATGGTGTTCTTCGATTTAAAGAGCACCATTTCAATACCATGTAAACCACGAGAGCCTGATCCTTCGTTACTACTGCCCCAGTTTTGTGGAACAGGTTACCCTAAAGCGTCAGATCAACAAAAGATCAAGAAATATTAAACGTGAAATTAGACGATTTTGCATCTTAAGACCTTTTGCTCGTAAACAGATGTGAGTTACAGTGAATGACATATGAGAACATCCAATTATCCCCACCAAAAGGGCCAGTTAAGATTTTTTTTTTATTTTAAGGTTGGTTTAGTTCTAAATACCTTTTTGCGTCGGCCTATATGCAAGTGTGTCTCTTACATGAGCTCCTGTCGAGAAAACGAATTGGAGCTGACCTACTAAGAGGAAAACGAAAGACCTGTTTGACAGTCATGCTGAAATTTTGACACTTTTGACGCATGGAAGAATTAAGATAAAATTTACGTTGGATTGAAACTGATAGCTGTTAAACTACCTGATGACTAAAGTAACATGAATTCAGCAAAAAAGCCACCATTTGTTTACTTTTTTACATTTTTTTATTGGTTTATACAATTCAAATTTCACCAAAACTACGTCCTGCTAGACCATTCTTCTTGGTGAAATAAAAAACGTCGAGGAAACCGTAGGAGGATTCTCAAAATAGCCATTTGTTTTTAGTGTATCAAAAAAACAATGCCATTTGGAATAAAAGAGGCAAAAACAAAACAAACAACTCTTCCCATCTCTAATGGGGAACGTGCCGCGATGATTAAGCTTTCAACTAGAAACAAAGAGCACAAGTTTACTTTGGCAAGGCTAACTTGTTAAGTAAGACCGTCTTAGTGGTGTTCAAGAACAACACCATGCATGTTCATGAATCCAACATTTTGTTTTGATTTTCCCAGAGGCTGTTATTGTAAAATTCTCTGTGCTCAACGAACTTCATAATTTCAATGTTTATAGAGATGTCTTTCGTTTATTTTTATTCACAATGTCATGCATACATCGCGCCGAATGCCTATTGTTCTCGCAAAAAAAATATGGATCTGTTGTATTCGCAGCGAAGCGTAATCTGGATCTCTAAGATGGTGACCTTATGATTATCATGACAAGCCGGTTCAGGAATAATAAACATTTCTGTAAGGCAGAGCTTTCTTCTGTGGAGACATCAGTCATTCTATTTCCTTTCCATTTCAGTTGTTTTTTTTAGCCAAAAGAACTCACCGGGAAAATATTCATTTTAAAATATCACTGGTAGAGATATTCACTTAAACAGAGGTGCCTTGCATATTCTTGCTTACAGCTGCGTCTGTGACAATTGACTGTTGAGTTGAAAGATTCCATGCTAATCAACACGCCTAAATGTACGGAGTAAATCAACCATGGAAGGACATTTTTTTTTGAGCAACGCAGCTGTCATGATTTGGGCCAAATGTATTAGCTTCTTACAGTGCCCATCCTTTCGGTTGAGTGAAATTTACTCAAAGACGAAGCTACATAATAAGGTGATTATTTGAGATCTCTTCTTTTATTCTCGTTTAACAAACACAAAGCAGATCAAATGGGGTTCTTCCGACCCTAACTAAGCCGACAAACTGCACGTTCTTACGTTTTTCTTTTGTATGATTTTTCTTCTGGGCGGTTTCGAAAAAGGAAGTGACGTGTAAGGTTGGACAAGTTATTAAATAACTAGAACCTTCTTATCGGCCCAAGTGCCTAAAACAAAGAAAACATTGAATCATTTGAATTCTTATTGACAACCTCTTCCTATGGGCTACCTTCTTCCAGTTCCTTGACCTTGCGGGCTGGCCACTTTGGCTAATTCGCGTTAAGTGTAAGCCGTTATTATTCTGGTATATCTACCGAGTATAGGATACTTATACCAGTTTT